AAGAACATGCAGTGCCGATATCTGATTTATGTATCTACATTTATTTGGGCTACCTGACTCAAAACAGAACTTTTATGCATTTCATCCAATACAAAAAATCTCTAAGACGGGTTTATGATATAATAAACTCATTAGGTTTTTTTTTTATATAGAAGCTACAGAGAAACGGAAGGCTAATTAGTCGCTAATGTCTTTAGAACATTTTAAACAAGATGCCACGTCGAGACAACCAACCAAATACATCCATTTGAAGAATCAAATTAAGACTTGTAATGTGATTTTAAGCAAATTGAAATGTTTATCTACAAGCTCTCTGAGCTTTATTTGTAATACTGTGAATGTGAGACAACAGTGTTGTTCTTAAACCTAGTACATCATTTAAAGATTGTATGAAATTAAAATTCAGCCTATTTTCTAAATGCATGGTATAGATCTGATTGTGAACAAATCATCTGTGTGCATGTTTCATCTATAAAATTAAACCTCATAATATTCAATCAAAATATCCTCATATAAAACCAAAAAATATATTTTATTTTTACATTTAATATTTTAGATTTTTAGGCATTTTTAAATATAAATGTATGCATATATAGATATAAAATGTATATAATCTTTCACATCAGTTTATGCATGAGAAAGTCTACAAAATTTGAATGCATACATCTGCTAAAAGTCCATTTTGTTACTCAAAAGTCAACATTTTAGTGGCAATCCTGTAGTTTAAAAAGTAAAAAGTAAAAGTTTAAAAAGTAACATGGCAACATCAATGCAATGGGTTCGATTCCCAGGGAATGCACAAACTTAAATACTACAGAAATGTTTCCTGCTTCCTTCATGTGCATCATGCATCAATGAATGTTAAATAATGCTTGGGTTTCTAATGGAGAGTCACCCTATTTTCTAAATGCATGTTATAGATCTGATGTGAACAATTCATCTGTGTGCATGTTTCATCTATAAAAAACATCCTCATACTTTATAACAGCAATGCGATGGGTTCGATTCGCAGGGAATGCATTACCTTAACAAATGTAATGTACTATACGCTGCTTTGGATCTGCCAAATGCATGAATGTAAATGTAAATATTGATGACCACAAAGCTACAGACATGCACTAAAAGATGCACATTAATCAACCTATGAGGTCTGAACCCGAAACATTTCAGATACAAGCCCAAAAACAAGCCTGCAACAATACAAAAGCAGTCTGGGATCAGAAGCTGTGTTTATGTCTTATAAATACTCGATCTATCAGAAGAGCGCTGGGC